GTGTGTGTGTGTGTGTGTGTGCACTGGTTTGGGTGGTTTATGAAGACACAAATTTGTATAATGACACGGGTATGACACAGGTATTACAATATAAAGATGATTTACCTACACTTCCTGTGTCCCCGTAATTCATACGATAGAAATGATAGGCGATAGAAAATACAGTTTTGCCTATGGAGAGTCCCCGTAAACCACCAATACCAACAGGTGTTTGTGTGTGAGAGAGAGAGAGAATGTGTGTGTGTGTGTGTGTGTGTGTGTGTGTGTGTGTGTGTGTGTGTGTGTGAGAGTGTGTGTGTGTTTCAAATGATGTAAGGGCTGGCAGATGGGTGGTTCGCCCAGGCATCATACAAGCTAGAACCACCACTGGCTATAATGGAGGGTTGTCATTTTCAGCCTTTTATTTTAATTCGTAACTTATTATTCAGACTGTATAATCATCATATAACCCTCGGTAATGAGGTGGCATTTTTCTGTGATTTTAGGGCAGTGAAAAATGAAAGTCTTTACAGCGGAGCATCAATGGCGTGCTTTATTCCTTCTTTAATTGAATTGTCAGTTTCTAAACTGTGGCTCGCAGATGCAATCAGAGCGAATGCTGAGAAATCAGACATTAGGACAGGAATAAAACTATGTTGCGTGAGTCATCCTACACCGACTGCATTAGTGCGTTAAAGTCTGCAGTAAAAGCAGCTCTTTCTGTCAGTGCATTGAAGTCTTTTACACTCACTTCTGTGTTTCAGACAGACTCCCATCATCTCTTCACACCCTGGCCATCAATATAGAGCTCAAATTGGTCTGTCCCTTGCTTGTGTAACTTCAACTAACAAATATTAGTCATATTGAATCTTTGGGTGAGTTATTGCTTTTCACAGTGTTTGTAGCTCCTAAGGGAAGCATTTAATGATCTGGAACACTTCAGTGTACACTAAACCCAATCTCATGCACGAATCCCTCCTGGCCGCCGCAGGAGATGTTTTGAGCTCTTTTGCCTTATGTTGTAAATGTTATGCTTCTGTTTCACTACAAGACCTCAGGGACTGAACGCATGTGTCTGATCAAGGATGCGTCATTAATATGTGAATGTGAAACGCTTGATGTATAATTGACATTCTTTCAAAGAATGATAAATAATATCTGGTTTCTATTCCAAAGTTATTCATGGGTGAATTTCACAAAACCAGTCAAGAACCTGTCCAAGATATTATTTGCATTATTTACCCCCAATTCAATTCATATATACAGCTCTGGAAAAAAATGAAAAGACCACTCCAAATTTTTCTTAAATCAGCATCTCTATGTATGGCAGCCATTCCATTCCCCTGGCTGTTGAATTCCAACACATGGGCACAACTCATTCTGCTTAATGAAGTACTGGCATAAAAACCACTGCTGTGGTCACTATCCTTTAGCAATATGACCAGCTGGATGGCAGAAACTAGTAGTATCTCAAATGTAATTGAAATCAAATAACAATTGACCAAGCCAAAAGAGTTGAAGAGAAAAGTTTTGCGTTAGGAAAAGAAGGATTAAGTTCTGGCTTTACTGGCAGAGGGCTACAGTGAGCATCAGGTTGCTTCCATTCTTAATGTCAAAGACAGCGGTTCATAAGAACAAGGTCAAGCTGAAGAAATTGGGGAAAACAAAGCTACAGACCGGCAGAGGGCGAAAATAACTCTCCACTGACTGGGATGGCCTTCAACTCATTTGAATGTTACTCAACAACCATAGGACAACCTCAAGTGACAAGAGTTGCCAAATCCGCGTATTATACGCGACTTTGAGCTTCTTTTTTTGTAAAGTTGCGAGAAAAAAATCGCGGTTTTTTGGGCTTATTTTAAAAAATGTGGTTGCTTGTTAGGAAAACCTGACAAGCAGCTTTGTTTCTTTTCATTTATGTTCCCTGTATTCTCCAATGCATTGATTGACACTCTGTCTGCTCACAGTTAATAGCTCAAATCCCCGGATGTGTTCTTGCTCCGCCCCTTTTATCAAGGATGCATCCAGAGGTGACTTGAGGCAGCCAGGTATCCCAGAATGCTTTTCGCACCAACCAGCAAGCTCTAATGGCGGAGAAAACCCGCATAATTTTCAAAATATTACTGTTATTGTGTCATGAAGTGCAGTTCTAAGAGTATTTCAGGCGAGAATGTAGTTGTTTAAAACTCAAATCTGCGGTTTATTTGTAAAGATAGCGCCTATTTGAAAATTTGCTCCGCCGATTTCAGTGGGTTGAGATCCACGCGATCAGCGTGCGCTCAGTGCTCATGTATCCGCCGAGAGCAGCCTCACCTCGGCTAGTCCTTCTGACATTTGCCGCTTGCTCTGATGTCTCCGTAGTGGTTAAACATGAGATATAATTCATTTAGGGTAAATCTAGCAGGCAATCTTTGGTCTCATGAATTAATTATTTCTTCCAGGTCATATCGTTTTGGCTGAGCATAGTTATGTTTCATAAATTATTTATTTATCAATCATAATACAGCACGGACTTGTTGCATACATTTGACTGAATTGTTTGCTTTTGTCTTATTTCCTATTACATAAGTGTCTTATACTTTATAGTTATACTTTTATAATGGCTATTATTGTTCATTAAAACTGAGATTGAACAAAAAAGGCAGTTGTGCTTGTCATATTGGGGGAAGCTTGGGGGAAGTCGTGGCCTAATGGTTAGAGAGTTGGACTCGTAACCCAAAGGTTGCGGGTTCGAGTCTCGTACCGGCAGGGATTGTAGGTGGGGGGAGTGA